GGACTAACAGGCGTGGATTTTTTAAAGAATATTTTTTCCAAGGACTAACAGGCGTGGATTTTTTAAAGAATATTTTTTCCAAGGACTAACAGGCGTGGATTTTTTAAAGAATATTTTTTCCAAGGACTAACAGGCGTGGATTTTTTAAAGAATATTTTTTCCAAGGACTAACAGGCGTGGATTTTTTAAAGAATATTTTTTCCAAGGACTAACAGGCGTGGATTTTTTAAAGAATATTTTTCCCAAGGACTAACAGGCGTGGATTGTTTAAAGAATATTTTTTCCAAGGACTAACAGGCGTGGATTTTTTAAAGAATATTTTTCCCAAGGACTAACAGGCGTGGATTGTTTAAAGAATATTTTTTCCAAGAATATATTTTTTTTAAAGAATATTTTTTCCAAGAATATATTTTTTTTAAAGAATATTTTTTCCAAGGACTGAAAGGCGTGGATTTTTAAAAGAATATTTTTTCCAACGACTAACAGACGTGGATTTTTTAAAGAATATTTTTCCCAAGGACTAACAGGCGTGGATTGTTTAAAGAATATTTTTTCCAAGAATATATTTTTTTTAAAGAATATTTTTTCCAAGGACTGAAAGGCGTGGATTTTTAAAAGAATATTTTTTCCAACGACTAACAGACGTGGATTTTTTAAAGAATATTTTTCCCAAGGACTAACAGGCGTGGATTGTTTAAAGAATATTTTTTCCAACGACTAACAGACGTCGATTTTTTAAAGAATATTTTTCCCAAGGACTAACAGGCGTGGATTGTTTAAAGAATATTTTTTCCAAGGACTAACAGGGGTGGATTTTTTAAAAGAATATTTTTTCCAAGGACTAACAGGCGTGGATTTTTTAAAGAATATTTTTTCCAAGGACTGAAAGGCGTGGATTTTTTAAAAGAATATTTTTTCCAAGGAATAACAGGCGTGGATTTTTTTAAAAGAATATTTTTTCCAAGGACTAACATTCATGGATTTTTTAAAAGAATATTTTTTCCAAGGACTAACAGGCGTGGATTTTTAAAAGAATATTTTTTCCAAGGACTAATAGGCGTGGATTTTTAAATGAATATTTTTTCCAAGGACTAAAAGGCGTGGATTTTTTAAAGAATATTTTTTCCAAGGACTAATAGCCGTGGATTTTTTAAAGAATATTTTTTTCCAAGGACTAACAGGGGTGGATTTTTTAAAGAATATTTTTTTCCAAGGACTAACAGGCGTGGATTTTTTTAAAGAATATTTTTTCGAAGGACTAAAATGCGTGGATTTTTTTTAGAATATTTTTTCCAAGGACTAAAAGGGGTGAATTTTCTTAAGAATATTTTTTCCAAGGACTAACAGGCGTGGATTTTTTAAAGAATATTCTTTCCAAGGACAGGCGTGGATTTAAAAAAAATATATATTTTTTCCAAGGACTAACAGGCGTGAATTTTTAAGGAATATGTTTTTCAAGGACTAATAGGCATGGATTTTTTAAAGAATATTTTTCAAAAGACTAACAGGCGTGGATTTTTTAAAAAAAATATTTTTTCCAAGGACTAACAGCCGTGAATTTTTAAGGAATATTTTTTCCAAGGACTAATAGGCATGGATTTTTTAAAGAATATTTTTTTCCAAGGACTTGGATGTTTAAGGAATATTTTTTCCAAGGACTAATAGGATTTTTAAGGAATATTTTTTCCAAGGACTTGGATGTTTAAGGAATATTTTTTCCAAGGACTAATAGGATTTTGAAAGAATATTTTTTTCCAAGGACGTGGATTTTTAAGCAATATTTTTTTCCAAGGATGTGGATTTTTAAGGAATATTTTTACCAAGGACGTGGATTTTTAAGGAATATTTTTTCCAAGGACGTGGATTTTTAAGGAATATTTTTTCCAAGGACGTGGATTTTTAAGGAATATTTTTTCCAAGGACGTGTGTTTTTAAGGAATATTTTTTCCAAGGGCGTGGATTTTTAAGGAATATTTTTTCCAAGGACGTGGATTTTTAAGGAATATTTTTTCCAAGGACGCGGATTTTTAAGGAATATTTTTTCCAAGGACGTGGATTTTTAAGGAATATTTTTTCCAAGGACTAATAGGCATGGATTTTTTAAAGAATATTCTTTTCCAAGGACTTGGATGTTTAAGGAATATTTTTTCCATGGACTAATAGGATTTTTAAGGAATATTTTTTCCAAGGACGTGGATTTTTAAGGAATATTTTTTCCAAGGACTAATAGGCATGGATTTTTTTAAAGAATATTTTTTTCCAAGGACGTGGATTTTTAAGGAATATTTTTTTCCAAGGATGTGGATTTTTAAGGAATATTTTTACCAAGGACGTGGATTTTTAAGGAATATTTTTTCCAAGGACGTGGATTTTTAAGGAATATTTTTTCCAAGGACGTGGATTTTTAAGGAATATTTTTTCCAAGGACGTGTGTTTTTAAGGAATATTTTTTCCAAGGGCGTGGATTTTTAAGGAATATTTTTTCCAAGGACGTGGATTTTTAAGGAATATTTTTTCCAAGGACGCGGATTTTTAAGGAATATTTTTTCCAAGGACGTGGATTTTTAAGGAATATTTTTTCCAAGGACGTGGATTTTTAAGGAATATTTTTTCCAAGGACGTGGATTTTTAAGGAATATTTTTTCAAAGGACTAATAGGCCTGGATTTTTTTAAAGAATATTTTTTTCCAAGGACGTGGATTTTTAAGGAATATTTTTTCCAAGGACTAATAGGAATGGATTTTTTTAAAGAATATTTTTTTCCAAGGACGTGGATTTTTAAGGAATATTTTTTTCTAAGGATCATCCGACCGAGAATACGTTCATGGCTAGAATACCCGATTTTTAAGATTTTTTTATCTGACCTAGAAGCACGTTCAAGGCTATAATACGCTATTTGAAGATTTTAAACGACGTTTAAGGCTATAATGCGCGATTTGAAGATTTTTTCAAGCACTTTCAAGGTTAGACGACGTTTTTTTTTTAAGAATATTTTTTAAGGCTCTATCAAGTTTGAAGGTGGATAATATTCAAGGATATTGTGCAATGAACTTTATGGCTAGGAGACAAGGACTTTTAGAGCTTTTTTCAATTATCTTCAAGACTAGATAGTCTGTGTTTTTAAAGAATATTTTTTCAAGGACCTCCAAGCCTAGAAATGCTGAATTTTTTGGAATATTTTTTCAAAGATCATCAAGGACCTCAAAGGCTAGAAAATCTGGATTTTTAAGAATATTTTTCAAGCATCATCAAGGATCTCTAAGGCTAGAAAACTTGGATTTTTAAGTATATTTCTTCAAGGACCTTAAGGATTAGAAGACGTGGATTTTTAAAAAACGTTTTTCAGGGATAATGAAGGACCTTTAGGACTAGAAATAGTGGATTTTAAAGAATATTCTTTTAAGGATATTTTTCATGGATCTTCATGGCTAGAAGACATTGATTTTTAGGACTATTTTTTAAGTATCTGCAAGGCTAGATAATCTGGAATTTTTGACGAATATTTTTTCCAGGACCCTCGAGGCTAGATAGAGTAATTTTTAAGATCATTTTTTCAAAGGATCTTAAAGGCCACAATACGTGAATTTTTGAGAATATGTTTTTTCAAGGATCTTCAAGGCTAGAAAATCTTGATTTTTAAGAATATTTTGTCATTACTATTTTTAGGTCCTTTGAAGTTAAAAAATGCGAATTTTTAAGGTATACTTTATCAACGACTTTTAAAGCCATAAGCCTGCATTGTTTGAGAATATTTTCAAGGACCTTCGAGGCTAAAATTGACGTTTTTTAAGCATATTTTTTAAGGACCTCCAATGTATACTATTAAAAATATTTTCAAGGATTTTCATAGTCCTTTGGTCCATGAGTCGTTCACCCTCTTGCCTACGAGATATCGTAAACGTGGAATTCCTTATCATCAATTGAACAACTCTACTTCGAATTCCAGAGCAACTCCGAAGTCTATTCGCCATCCCATATATAAACTGATCTGATTTATGACTCCAGGGAAGGGGGAAATCTATTTCCATTTCATAAAGTTTAGAAGGACTTTATAAAGAGCTTGGTCATAGCTGAGCCGACGAGAAGACCACGTTATACATGGCTAGTTTTTTAAGAGGTTCTTCAAATCTATAAATGTGAATTTTTTAAATCCATTTTTAAAGATCCTTCAAAGGCAGCAACGTAGACTTTTAAGAATGTTTTTTTCAAGGACCTTCATTGCTACCAAACATGGTTTTTTATAAACTTTTTTCAAGGATTTTTGCAGTGGCTAAAAAACATACATTTTTAGGGAAATTTTTTCAAAGATCATCTGTCCTAAAAACAGAAATTTTTGGAAGTATTTATTTTAAAAATTTGAATTTTTGAAATATTTTTGAATTTATTCTAATTGTTTATATGCCTTAAGGGCTTCCAACTTGCAACCTTCATACATGTATTCTAAACATATCGCAGATGAATGACATTTGCGGTCATTCATCGCTTTGCTGTGGCTTTGGTTTTTTTTCGTTTCTAAACTTGGAAACTGACATTCAAATCAACATTGAAAAAATTGCACATAACTGACGGTGATGATGAGGCGCAATAACCGCTCCAAAGGTGGCGACCGAACGACGCGTGTCATTTAAATTAACACCTCAAACAATAGATGAAACAAACATCGAATGTCATCCAACCAACCAACCAACCATCCATCAAATGGCAAGGTAACAAGTATATGATTTCCCCTTTAAGGGGCAAGGGGCAAGGGGAAGGAATTTGTTTGTTAGAAGTTGTTTTTGCAAAAAGAAAAGTGAGTCTTGTAATCGATAAGCCGCCAAATAAAAGTGTTTGAAATACTTTGAGGTTTCTAATATTGTTTTGTAAAAATATTATTTCAATTTTTTTCTCTCTTTTAACTGACAGCCAATATCAACAATTCTGCGGCTTCTATCCCCCTCTAAACGATACATTTAGAATCTTTTGATCTTTTCGATACCGCTGATCTATTTGAAACTTACCTCTAAGACATAATCGAATTCTTTGGTTTCATCGTGTTCATCATCCCAACGCTTGTAGCCCTCGTCAATGCCTTCATCGATGCAGTCATCGATACAATCGTCGTCTTCTTCGGTTTCTGTAACGAAAAAAAAGATAGGGAATTTGATAATTCCGTTTTGTTTTTCGGTATTGCTTTTTTTTTTTTTTTTTTTTTTTTTTTTTTTTGTCAGCATCAAATGCCCGATTGACGTTATGGTAATAATTTTGCCATTGTCAGTGTCATGGGGTTTATTGTCAGTTATTTTTTTTTTCATTTTTTTTTCTAGAACAAAAAAAAAAAAAACAAAATTGTCATCGTTTTTCCAATTAAGCCATAAATAAATTAATTACAACGCCAGTATGGGGGATAATTCCATGGAATTAGGCGAAAATTTTTCTAATTGAAAATTATGTAAATAAAATGCGCAATTCATTTGGAAAATTCGCATGGAAGAACCTCAGATCACTTTAGATAAATCATTGAACAAATTAAATTGAAGAGTAAAAAATTAAAAAAGAAATTTGAATATCAAGAATAATTAGTTTCCTTTTATATCGAAGATAAGGACGCTGCAGTAGACCACAGGAGTCTTATGGAGGACAACAGGAGCCAAAAGCTTATGAATTGGAGGAGAAGGTTTTCTCATATTTATCGGACTAAACGAGTGTTCTTAGAAGATAGTATAGAAAATCTCATATTTTCGAATAGGATAAGATTCCATTTACAAATCATTTACAGAAGTTTGACTTTTCTTGAATAGGAAACCAAGCATCATCTTATGGAAAAACATATCTATAGGCCTTTTCATTCCCAAATCTTCAGAAATTTTTGTTAGTTTTTCCAAGGGCTAACAGGAGTGAATTTTTTAAATAATATTTTTTTTTAAGGACTAAAGGCGTGTATTTTTTAAATAATATTTTTTTAAGGACGTGGATTTTTTAAATAATATTTTTTTCAAGGACTAAAGGCGTGTATTTTTTAAATAATATTTTTTTCAAGGACTAAAGGCGTGGATTTTTTAATAATATTTTTTTCAAGGACTAAAGGCGTAGATTTTTTAAATAATATTTTTTTCAAGGACTAAAGGCATAGATTTTTTAAATACTATCTTTTTTCAAGGACTAAAGGCATAGATTTTTTAAATAATATTTTTTTCAAGGACTAAAGGCATAGATTTTTTAAATAATATATTTTTTCAAGGACTAAAGGCATAGATTTTTTAAATAATATTTTTTTTCAAGGACTTAAGGCGTGGATTTTTTAAAAAATATTTTTTTCAAGAACTAAAGGCGTGGATTTTTTAAATAATATTTTTTTCAAGGACTAAAGGCGTGGATTTTTTAAATAATATTTTTTTCAAGGACTTAAGGCGTGGATTTTTTAAATAATATTTTTTTCAAGGACTAAAGGCGTGGATTTTTTAAATAATATTTTTTTCAAGGACTAAAGGCGTGGATTTTTTAAATAATATTTTTTTCAAGGACTAAAGGCGTGGATTTTTTAAATAAATTTTTTTCAAGGACTAAAGGCGTGGATTTTTTAAATAAATTTTTTTCAAGGACTTAAGGCGTGGATTTTTTAAATAATATTTTTTTCAAGGACTAAAGGCGTGGATTTTTTAAATAATATTTTTTTCAAGGACTAAAGGCGTGGATTTTTTAAATAATCTTTTTTTTTCAAGGACTAAATAGTGTGGATTTTTTAAATATTTTTTTCAAGGACTAAAAGGCATGCATTTTTTAAATAATATTTTTTTTTCAAAAGGCGTGGATTTTTTTAATAATAATTTTTTCAAGGACTAAAAGGCATTGATTTTTTAAATAATATTTTTTTCAATGACTAAAAGGCTTGGATTTTTTAAATCATATTTTTTTCAAGGACTGAAAGGCATGGATTATTTAAATAATAGTTTTTTCTAGGACTAAAAGGCGTGATTTTTAAAAGATTTTTTTCAAGGGCTAAAAGCCTGGATTTTTTAAAAAAATATTTTTTTTTCAAGGACTAAATAGTGTGGACTTTTTAAATATTTTTTTCAAGGACTATTTAAATTAAAAAAATTTAAATAATATTTTTTTTCAAAAGGCGTGGATTTTTTAAATAATAGTTTTTTTAAGGACTAAATAGTGTGCACTTTTTAAATATTTTTTTCAATGACTAAAAGGCTTGGATTTTTTAAATCATATTTTTTTAAGGACTGAAAGGCATGGATTTTTTAAATAATAGTTTTTTCTAGGACTAAAAGGCGTGATATTAAAAAAAATTTTTTTCAAGGTCTAAAAGGCGTGATGTTTAAAGAATATTTTTTGCAAGGACTATAAGGCTTGGATTTTTTAAAGGATATTTTTTTCAAAGACTAAAAAGCGAGGATTTTTTTAAGTCTTGACAACGCGATTTTGTTAAATATTTGCAATAAACGTAGAGTTTTGGAAGAATTTTTTTCAAAGATTATCAGTTATAAAACAGGAAGAAGAAAAAAACACGTATTCGAGAAGAGAAGAAGGTGGTAAGGAGGTAAAACTACATTGTCTTCTGGTGGAGAAGCTCTGAAGGTTAATATGCCACGTCTTCTGTCGATGAAGACCAGGAGGTAAAAAGACAACGACTTCTGACGGGGAAAGAGTAGAAAGAAGAGCAGGAGGCGTATATGTCATGTCTCCTGTTAAATATTAATTATTGCTCTTTTGGCACAGAAAAGCAGGGAGCAAAAAGCCACAGTTTTTCTGGAGGAGAGGACCAAAAGTATAAAAAACCAACTATTGGTGGAAAAGACCACCAAATAAAGATTCAACGCCTTCTTCAGCCAAACTATCAGAAGGCAAAAAGAAAAGGATCTAAAGAAGCTCTAGCATGGAAGACCGGAAAGTGAAAAGGCCACGCCCTCTGGAGAAGATAACCAAAATGTAAACATTTAACTCCATCTGGGAGAGAATACCAGGAGGTACAAAAATCACGTCTTCTGTGAAAGATGACCATGAAATAAAAAGTTCAGGTCTTCAGTTGTAGAAGAGCATGAGGTAAAATGACCATGTCTTCCTGTGAAGAAGGTTAGATAGGCTACGTTTTGTTGTATACGATGTAAAAGGGTTTTGCCGCAAGAAGGCCGTTTTTCTTGTGGTGCTTCTGATGAAAAAGATTATGACTTATTATGCAGAGGACATCTTCTTCTTGGGCGGAAGACAGAACGCATTCTGAAGAAAAGAAGAACTTTTCTTTTTATGCAAGAGACTGGATAGTTTTTCCCGGTATGATATCAGAAGGTGCTTTTTTGTAGGGGGTCCATCAATTTTTCATCACGGAAGGAATATGTATTTCTATTGAAAAACAAAAGTTAAGATTGCAGTTATTTTGGATGAGCGAGTGGTTTTTTTCAATAGAAGATGAGGAAGTGGCCTTCATTCTCAATAGAAAAGCAGGTGGTGATTTTAAACAGAAGACTTGAAATTTTTCTTTAATAAAAGAGTACATTGTCTTCCTCTATATAAAAGTCTAAAGTATTTCTATATAATAGAAGAATAGGTGTTTTCTTTTTTCAATAGAAGAGCCGGTGGTCTTCTTCTCCAATAAAAGAGTCGGTAGTTTTTTTCTCACCAAAGATCACAAAAGTATCTTCCATAGAAGACCAGAAGCGTTCCTTTAGGAGAAACCCAAAAGTTCTTCAGCAGAAGATCACAAGTTCGTCCAATTAGTCGTCCTTTGTAGAAGACAAGACAAGTTTGTCTTTTTCTATGGAAGTCCTGATGGTCTACTTGTGAAGAAAGACTAGTCCGTCTTCTCCTATAGAAGACCCGTCGGTCTTTTCCTATAGAAGACCAGTTGGTATTCTTCTATAGAGAATCAGTTGGTCTTCTTCTATAGAAGACCAGTTGGTCTTCTCCTATAGAGAATCAGTTGGTCTTCTTCTATAGAAGGATATAGGTGGTCTTCTATAGAAGTCTAGTCCGTCTTCTTCTATAGAAGTCTAGTCGGTCTTCTTCTATAAAAGACTAGTCGGTCTTCTTCTATAGAAGACTAGTAGGTCTTCTCCTATAGAAGACTAGTAGGTCTTCTTCTATAGAAGACTAGTAGGTCTTCCCCTGCAGAAGACCAATTGTTATCCTTCTATAGAAGACCAGTCGGTCTTCTTCCATATAAGACCAGTTGGTCTTCTTCCATATAAGACCAGTTGGTCTACATATAGACTCCTATAGAAGGACACCAACTGGTCTCCTATCGAAGGACACCAACTGGTATCCTATCGAAGGACACCAACTGGTCTCCTATAGAAGGAGACCAATTTGGTCTACGCTACTTTTATGGACTGCTTACCATCTTCTGTCATGTGGGTAATGAGTTCTTCCAACTCCTGGGACATTTGACACTGTTCATCTTCATGTAAATTATAATCCAGGGCATTGTAGACGACGACGGCCACATTTCGTAGAACCTGAAAATATAGAGAAAATATATAAAAAAATTAGTTATAAGAAAATTATGAAAAATGTATTTATCGACTTAACGATGTCCGTCTGTCTATCTGTTGAAATCACGATACAGCCCACATTATTTGACGTAGAGATTCAAAATTTGACAGAAGAATTTTTATTGTGTCTGGGAGGGTTGGTATTTGGTATAGCTGTATAATTTTCTCGCAGACAATAATTAGCTAACGACTTTCGTGCAGAAAATATAAAGCACTTTACATTCAAACTGACCCCAAGTGAATACTTAATTCGGTCACTGTATCTGATATTCTTTGTTCTTAAAATGACATACCATGATCGCCATAAAATAACTATTGGTGCTAGTGTCTTTTGTGCGGCATTTTATAAGGGGCCTTGAAATAACTGTTATGGAAAACCCAATTGATGAGGCTTAAGTTTATGGAGCTAAAAGCAATACAAGTCTTTGCGGATTTACTAACTAAATGTCTTTTTTATGGATTGTTTAATTGATTATAGTTCTCGGAGGCCTATATTTTTTATTACTCTCAGTTCCGCTCTCTTTCAATGAATTTTAATTTTTTTTCTGAAATATAATTATTTGAAATGATTTAAACTCAATTCAGAATAAATGGTAGCTTCCTCTGCAATAATTTTAAGAATTCCGAATGATTTTTTTAAATCATCAAAACAAACTAATTCCTAGGAAATCCATTGGAGCTACTACCCGTCTAGACAAGAAGCCAAGCCAGAAATACGATTTTTTTCCAAGAAATTTTTCAAAATGTTACTTTGGTATTGCAAATTTATTCATCTGTTGTTTTCTGGGTGGCGATCTATTTTTTCTATATTCGCATTTTAAATTTAATAAACGCCAGCAGCAGTCATAATCCACCCCATTCTTATCATTGTCAGCAGCAGCAGCAACACCGGCAGACCCTCAACTGCATTCGAACAAGGAAATTCTGGGCAAATATTTGCACAAATGGGGGGAGGGGGGAAACTATAATGGAATAAAATGGAATTCTTCTTCGGCGTTGTCTTCTTCTTTTCGCTCTGTTGTCTATCTATTCGCATTGTTATATTTTGCCACTGGCTGTGCGAAGGGCATTCCATTCACATTTGGGTGTTATGCACGACGCAGGAAAATAATGGATTTAGAACATGCCATATTCCCATTCATTCATTTATTTATGCAGGGCACATCACCGGCAACGTCACCACACACTATCGTAGTCCTCCACCACCCCCTGGGGAATTGTTAATGATAGTTGTTGCACTACCCGAGAAGAAGAAGCTACCTTAATGCTCCATAGGTTTCCATTGTTTGCAAGAAATGTTCGGAACACCTTCCCCCCCACCACCACCAGCAACTGTGAATGCATTTGGTAATCATGAGATTTCTTTTATTGTTTCCATTCGAAAAGTTTCCCTTAGATTAATTTAAGTAATTCACATTAAGAGGTTCATTTCCCAGAATTTTCCTATTGAGTATTTCCTCTTCAGCTATTTTTTTAATTTTGGCGTTTCGGTCGTCTAATAATGACTAATTTTTTGTTGGCGTTTGTCCGCAACTAAGTCACTTATAATTATCACAGGAAATTCTAATAACAAACAAATAACAATTACGAGTGGGGGTGACCAGTATGCCATCTATATTTTGAAATTCAGTAATTTATTTGGGCGCCATTTTGACATTTTATGGAACTGAGAATAATTCAGAATTTAACATAAATTTATGGACTTTTCTAGATTGATCGATATTCTTGAAGCCTAAAAGTATGCAACATTTGCATTAAAAATATATTGTAATTATTAACATTTGGGGTACAGATGGCGCTGTTGTGAAAAGTGGTTTGAACTTTAAAAATAACTAAAACTAAACTAAAGTTTTAAGATTTCAGATGTGGTGTGAATAATTCAATCTCAACACCTACACCTGCCCAAAAGTATGCAACATTTGCATAAAAAGTTATTTATTGATTAAAAAAAAAACAATTGAATTACAGATGGTGTTGTGGTGAAAAAGTGGTTTGAAACTTAAAAATACATAAACATAATTCGGAAAATCTGTGTAAATGATGCATATATATAAAAGGCGGCGCAAAAAGTAATTCTCCAATCTGAAAATTCTATAAATTTTACGATTGGCCCCTTAAGTTAGTTCGGTTTGCCATATTTGTAGTAAACACATTCGAAATACACGTTAATAAACCATATTATGCTACACTGCTCCAGAATGTGGAATATTGATGACTATTTATTTGACCAAAAATCGGTCGGTGACTTAGGCAGAACGTGAATTTGGCCGTCCTAGGCCTACTGGTGAAACACTGCGACATTTAGCCGCTCGCCTCGAAGAGACTGGCACAACAAAAGATACTGTCAGGCGTGGCAGGCCCCGTTTTTTATCCGTTCTGCAGAGTATATAGCTACTGTAGTCGAGGATGTCATGGAAGCGCCGTCGACATCGACCAGACGACGTGTCACGCAAATGGGTATCAGTCGAGGTTCGAGAATTTTGGTACAAGATTTGAATATTTAACTGCATAAAGTCCAGATGGTGCATCAGCTGTTAGCTGCTGACCGCCAACAACATCTAACATACGCTCAAGCCATCCTTAATCTCCTCTAAGAAGAAGATGATTTTTCATCAAAAATAATCATGAGTGATGAGGCCGATTTCCATCTTAGCGGGTACGTAAATAAATAAAATTTACGCTTCTGGGGCACGGAAAATCCGCGTGTAACCCACGAAGAGTCATTACACCTGCTCAATGTCACAGTATGGTGTACTGTTTTCGCTGGAGGAGTCATCGGACCTTTTTCTTCGAAGACGGCACGGGCCAAATGGTTTCTGTGAATGGTGAGCGCTGCAAAGCAATGATCAACGACTTCTTTTTGCCGCAACTTGAGTGGTTGGGATAGGAAAACATGTGGTTCCAACAGGACGGTGCAATGGCACACACTGCACAATTTGCTGTTGGCAAGTTGTCGAGTCGCATTACCAAATACGTTATAGCTATTTGGGTCCGAATGATGGGGAAGCTTGTTCGATTTCTACTGCGATTTAAGCATGTCATATAACCCATGTCCTGGCACGGATCATTTTGCGTTGGCGTCTTCTGTGTCCCTTGTCTGGATTACAACGACTATATCATCTTCTTACTAGAAATGTGTTCTCAGGCATATCTATCTTATTTAAGAATTCCATCGTAGCATATTCCAAAGGTCGGGATATAAGATGGTGCCCTATGTAGTTCCTAATGTTATGGGTAGGTATTTCCCTCGTGTCCTCGCTCGTCTTATGTTTGAGTACTCTTCTACGCAGATAACTCCCTAAACGTTTTCATTAGGTATTCTAGGATTTCAAAATTCCTATTCAGCCATGGGTATAAGATCTGTCCCCCTTAAGCGATTTAGAGCATTATTCACATTAAGTGTTTCTAATATAACTACCGACTTGCTGTAACTAATTGATTTTCCAGCTCTGAAATCATATGGCCTCTCAGATAACCCACTTCTTCAGCGTATAGCTTCTTCTATTCTTGTTTTTAAGAGTTTCTCAAGAAACGTTAGGTGCGTCGTTATTGGGTCCAAATTTCTATTTCAAAAAATAAGACGGGCAAAACATACCTTTATAGAATATAGAATTTTTGGAGGTATCGTTGATTCTATGTTGCTGAAGGATAAGTAAAAAATATCCAGCATCAAATGGGAGTCAAAAATCTCTCATTGTGAATCTCATTTAATAATTAATTGTCTGACCTTTTATTACTGAAACCAAATTGATCAGGGCGCTCCCAAATTGAAAATTGACGACAACTACTGGCTACAATGTTTTGTCCACTGTGGGAACTAAATTTGTAACCTATTCCCAATTCAAACAAATTGGAAGATTTACTTTAGAGAATGCAAAGCATTCCTCCAAGTTGTAAGGCTGAATTCCGAGGCATTTACATGCAGTCATTTATTTTAATTTTCAGTACCAACCAAAAAAATTAAAGCTGTGCCCAAAAATATTGCAAACAAACAATTTAGCAAAACAACAAAAAAAAACTTATTAGATGTTGTAGCTAGGGTTTTTTTTTGAAATTTGAACGATATTTTCATCTAAGCAGCAAGTCAAATTAACCTCATTCCCAGGCTATTGTTAAGCTGGCAGGCAGGCAGGCAGGCAGGCCTCACTAGCAAGCGGGCACAGACAGACAACATAACAACAATACCAGCAATGCAGTCAACAACAATTTCTACATAAAATATAAAACAAAACATGAACAACAACACAAAATGTCATAGAAATGTTATTTATAAAACTCAAAAAAAAAAAAGAGAAAAAAGCGAATTCAAAAAAACCTATGCGGAGCCCGACCAACTTCACCTCACTTTAGCAAAAACTCCGTCAGCAAAACAAGTAGACAAAGAGACACAACACTACTAGGCTTTACACCAGCCAGGCAACCCAAGCTGGCAGATAACTTCGCCGAATGTTTCTTTGCCTGGTTTTTGGTTTCATTTTTGTTTCCATCATCCAGTTAAACTTCAATTCCAAAACAATCCACCAAAAAAAAAAAAAAAAATGACAAAAAAACTAACGTCAAATGTCGCCGCCGCCATCACCGCCAGCCGGGGGAGACCGACAGACAATGCTCATGTTATAGTTTTTCTTCGCAAAACAAAAAACACACAATCGTGTAAAAATAAACCAAGCCATAAATGACGGCGACACCGACGTCAGCTTCAACGGCGGCCAACGATATGCAAAATGTCAAAACTAAAAAATATGTCTTTAAAATGCCTTTAACAACAACTATGCCAAAAAAACATGGTCTAAGACGTTGTCGTCAGAGACTTCGTCATCGCTGCTACCCCAAGTCACCGCTACACCAGCATTCATTCATCCATTCCCAGCCATTGCACCGAATTCATAGGCTTTGACAAGTAAAAAAATAATAAAAATAAAGGAGTCTATTTCAAATGTCACTTGAAGTTGTAGCAAATAACA